ACTAACGCCTAATGAGTATGGATGACTACCCTTGCGCATCATGAAGGTCAGCATCCAAAACCAAGCTAGGCATATGCATATTGATGGTATACGAACTTTCAGAAGGTTTATGTTGGCAAGCGGCGCAACGAAGATGATGGATGAGGGAACTTGGCGGAGTATAGTAAATGGTAAACAACCAAGTCATTCGAATGGACATGAAAGGGCATGACCGGAGGAGTTGGACCAACCATATCAAAACTCGACTGGGCATAAGAGGCACTCTGGTTTGTGTGTTGGATGAGAGGGTTAGTCAGTCTACCTTAAGAGGTTGAGCAACTAAGTCAGTTAGGCAGTTAGAGCAAGCAACACGGTTGGCAAGATCAGTTCGGATAGAAGGGCAGAGCGGATGCGTTAACCAGTATTGAAAGAGTTGAGAAGGACGAACCATGTAGCGGAGGGAGTCGCTCGGAAAGGGCATTGAGAAGAGTAATATGAGAACTCGGCCGGAGAGGAGTAATGAGGTAATCAGTGCGAAGTTACTAACAATGATGAGATCATTTATTGTGGAAGGCGATTCGTCGCGAAGGAAATAGAAAACAAGCATAAACTCTCATGATTGCTGCTTTAATTGAGGATGCTTCATTTTTTTTTTTCAATCCCAAAACACAACCACTATCATTTTTCAATAATGTTTCAACAATCAGTTAATGGACATTGTCAAAGTAACACAGAAGATAAGAGAAAACCGCTACTAGCAGATCCTGAGTTTATAACAACGCCTTATTTTTTTTTAAATTAATTTTCATTGATTCGAGTCATTGATCTAGATTTGATCAACGGCTCAGATTAAACCGCATGTTCGCACCTGAGCAAGTTTCCGCACCAGATCTCATCCTTAAATATATATATATATATATATATATATATATATATATATATATATATATATATATATATATATATATATATATATATATATATATATATATGGGAGTTCACGTGCGGCAACGTTGTTAGGTGCGATGGTGCGGTCAATTGCAGGTCATTAGATTAGATAAATCCAATGAATCGCTTCTCCAATATTTTCGCGCACGTTCTCACCCTACGCGAACTGCAAGGCTAAAGTCGTCATTGGGCATCAGAATAGGGAAAATCATAGTGGTGTGTGTTTTACGTTCATTATTGGTGCATTATTAACCTTACTCTGCTGTATTTGTGAATTCGTGTTGGTGCCAAGTTCAGGTGCGGCCGCACTAATAGTTATAAAAAATATACACCATCCATGTTAGAAAATACACACCAAAAAAACATGCACAAATTAGGTATGCAACACGAGGACGCATCATCTGGTATGAATAAAAGCATCGCACAGTGTTCGGAAATACACCATTGGGGGTGGTGAGTTATATGGTGTATTTTTTGGGTGTGTTGTGTATTTTTTTTGGTGTATTTGAGCATTTCACTGTTGTGTTCTTTCCTAACACTATTGGTGCCTTTTGCTAACACTGTTGGTGTATTCTGTCAAGCGACCGCTATAAATGACCACTATAATTACCATAAAACCCCCTCTTACCAAAAAACGCTTAAATCTTCAAATCTTCAGTAATTAGCCACTGTCGTTAGATTGAGAAACTTTGACGATAGAGATAAGGCCACACCGCCGCACCTAACAACACTGCCGCATATGAGCCTTATTATATATATATATATATATATATATATATATATATATATATATATATATATATATATATATATATATATATATATAGAGTTGCACTCGGGTGCGAACGGCTCGCCCAGGCGCGAAATAGGAATGGATTCTGTTCGTCCACGTGTCCAGATCTAATGGATGAGAAACACTGATTTTTTTAAAAAATGCGGTGGTATTTTCGTAAATAATTGAACATCGAAGTGCAAGTAAAATGTATTACAAGTGCATGTAAAATGTATTATAGGTGCAAGTAAAAATTTACACTGAGCATCAATACTTAGTTGCACTTATAGTTCTAAGTAGTTGCACCTATAGTTCTAAGTAGTTGCACAAATAGGTATAAGTAGTTGCATCTAGGTGTATGAATGTTTGCGAGTGGTTTTTAGGAGTATTACTACCCGCTGAACTCAGATCAATGAATGTTAACAAGACAAAATTACATGCACTTATAGGTGAAAGTAGGTGCACATATAGTTATAAGTAGTTGCACCTATAGTTATAAATAGTTGCACATATAGTTATAAGCACACCCAGGTGCATGAATGGTTGCGGAAAGTAAATGCTAACAAGGCAAAATTACATGCACTTATAGGTGAAAATAGGTGCACTTATAAGAGATTTTACTTGCACTTCGATGTTCAATTATTTACGAAAATGCCACCGCATTTTTTTTAAGTTATTAGATCTGGACACGTGTCACGCGCTGATTCGTTCGCATTTCCTTCCTGGGCACTTATTCGCACCTGAGTGCGTCCATATATATATATATATATATATATATATATATATATATATATATATATATATATATATATATATATATATATATATATATATATATATATATGTTAGGAATAAATTGTAATAGATTTTGATAAGCCATATTGTAATTCGTAGATCCCCAATTTTATTTTATTAGACTAGTCGAGTCTTAGACCAAGAAAGGGAAAAATAAATTCATTAGTTGAGGAAATGGATGAAGAAGATATCAAGCCAAAAATCAAGAATTTGTCAAGAGAAAATGGCAAACAGAAGAGGAAGATGTATGCGTATGAAATTTGAGAAAATCCCTCAAGAAATCCCGAAGAAGAAAGAACGTGACTAGAAGTTTGCATGAAGCTATCTTGAAGATCAAGCATCTATGGAAACAAAGGAGTACACCAAGTGGAACAAGAAGATAACCAATAGGCTGTACGGATGAGATGGTAGAAGCTTGAAATATTATGTGCAAGGGTACAGGTTTGAATTTCACATCCCACATATTTTAAAGAAGCCAAGTTAAAATTCCATCTGATCAAGTAAGAGGCGATGGTTTGGCCGAAGGGATACAATTTGCAAGTCAATGGGATGAGATTTCCAATTTGACTATGGGATGAGATTTCAAGGGATGCAATTTGCAAAGTCAAAGGGAGATGGTTTGGCCGAAGGGATACAATTTGCAAGTCAATGGGATGAGATTTCCAATTTGACTATGGGATGAGATTTCAAGGGATGCAATTTGCAAAGTCAAAGGGAATGAGATTTCACTAAGGGATGAAGTTTACAAGTGAAGGGATGCAGTTTCACAAATTGGAACCCCGGAAATTGAAATAGGGATGCAATTTCATCAGAAGAAGGGATGCAGTTTCACAAATTGGAACCCCGGAAATTGAAATAGGGATGCAATTTCATCAGAAGAATTGAAGTTCAAATTGGTACAGGGAAATCAATTTGAAGGATGAGATTTACAAGGCTTCAATTCAATTGGAGATATAGATTGCAAGGGATGAGATTGCAATTCCAAATCAAGTAATGGATGAGAATTCAATTGACAAATCTAGCAGGATAGAGATTTCATTTCCCAAAATAGAAAGGGATTAAGTTTCACAAGGGAAGAGATTTCCAAGTCAATTGAAGAGATGAAGTCTGGAAGCAGTATACAGACCCAGATACACGAAAAACAGAGGAAGATATTAGAAGAAGTTGCAGTAGCAAAAATACTAGTCTAACTAGTAAGGGATTATATTGGAGAATATATTTTGAAGATAAAAATCCCAAGAGGCATGATCTACACCAGATGGAGATTCATGGGACGCCATTTTTGCTGAAACCTCAAGCTCAATTTGAAATATCTGACAAGATCTGCAACGTTATCTTATCTTCTGACAAAAGGCTATACAGCTAAGCAAAATTCGAAAATGAGACCGTTTCTTTCCAATGGACGGATTCTCATTACCAGCTATAAAAGGATGAAGATTGAAGCTTTGGAAAGAAGAAGCAAGAACGCAATAGAGCAAGAATACAGAGCTAAATAGAGCATACAAAATTCAAAGAAAGCTTTCCATCTCAGGAGCTTAAATTGATATATCTTTTGTGAGATAAACACTCAGAGTGATACAGAGCTTAGAAAAGAAATATCCAAGAGTGTTAAAATCTTCATCAACTTCAAGAGACTCAGCGCACCATTGAAGATCATCTACAGAGTCTCAAAGTTGGAATCAAGGCAAAACTTGTTTTTGGAGCAAAACAAGGGAAAGGAGGAAAGTAACACGGAGTTGTGAAATCCTGGATTGTCACACGGAGCTGTGAGATCCGAAGCAGCAGTGTTGGGAAGACATTGGGCGTGATTGGTGTGGGCTTGGTGATCAAAGCACCAGATCACGGAAGATACGTTTCTACCGGATCGTAGAAGACGGGGGGAAAGTAGCACGGAGTTGTGAAATCCTGGGAAAGTAACGCAGCGACGTGAAACCCGAAGCAGCAGTGTTGAAGGCACTGGGCGTGATTAGTGTGGGCTTGGTGATCAAAGCACTAGATCACGGAATTCATTGTATCTTGGAACCAAGAAGTGGTGGATATAGTGAATTGGCTCTTTGAGAAGAGCAAGTGGAGTAGGAGGATTACATCACCTCGCGAACCACTATAAATTGCCTTGTGTTCTTTACTGCTTTCTTTACTTACTGCTCTTACTTGCTTCTCACGTCAATAATCTTGACACGATCTACACACACACCGTATCGTTTATTTAATTTCGCTGTGCACCGGACTCTAACAATCTAGTTAAGAGTCTTGGTTTATCTCTAGCTTACCAATTGTTATATTGTGCAAAAAGTTTGAAAGTCTATTCACCCCCCCCCCCCCCTCTAGAGTTTCACCTTACCTCTTTTGGGACCAACAATTGGTATCAGAGCCGGTGCCTATCCGAGTCAGAATTTGTCTCTAATCGATACCAACAATTAGTATCAAGAGCAGGTTGCCTAATTGGGTCAACCTTGTTTCTGACTGCTAGGCAGATCCATCTTACCCAGTGTGTGTAAATTGGGTTATTTGTCTCTCGTATCCACCGAGAAGATGAATAAAGATTTAGCTCAAAATCTATTATTCTCGTTTGATAAATTTGATGATTGGAAAGTTCGTATGCAGGTTCATCTATCAGCTTTACACGATGAAATGTGGGAAGTTATTTCCACTGGCCCGATCGAAATATTGAAAGTAAATACGGCTTTTCTTCTATCACCGGATGCTCAACAATTCGTACCAAAGCCAAAACCGGAGTGGACGCCGGATGATAGAAAGAGGAACAATCTTGACAACATTGCCAAAGATATTCTGTTCAAAGCCATTGATGATACAATATTCCCAAAGGTTCGAAAATGTACAAGTGCAAAAGAAATTTGGGATACTCTCATCAAGATCGGAGAAGGAGATGAACAAGAGAAAGATAACAAGCTCACAATTGCTATGAAGAAGTTCGAGGACTTCAAAATGCTCTCAAACGAATCCATTGTTGATATGGAAGCTCGAATGATCAAAATCCTTGGAGAAATTAATGACCTTGGCAAAAATATTAGCCAAAAGGAAATTAATCTCAAAGTTCTACGAGGCTTACCATCTACTTGGGATATGAAGGTTACGGCTATGCGAGATCACCGAGATCTAAGAATATTGTCAACCGACAAATTATTTAGTGATCTTAAAGCATATGAGTTCGAAATGAAGGCCAAAGATGATGAAGTTCATGAAATTCGAAATCCAGCTCTAATGGCCGAACAACCGTCAACCTCCAGGTCAGTAGATAATATTGATTTTATAACTGACGAACAATTTGCTCTTTTTGTGAAAAAGTTCAAAAGGTTTATGCGAAGAGGAGACAACAAAAATTCTGCTCGTGGAAAATTCGTCTCTCGCACGACACAAGAAGAGAAAGTCGAAGAAAACAACAATTTATGCTACAATTGCCGCAAACCCGGACATTTCAAAATAAATTGTCCGTATCCGATCGTTAGCAAGTATCAAGGCATAAATGTTGAATCTACACCGAATAAATCCGAAAGCAAAGATCGAAGGTTCAAGCGCGACAAAAGAAAAGCTCTCGTTAGCAATGAACCAAATGAAAATGATGAGTCGAATGGATTGTCATCAAGTGATGAAAGCTCAAGTTCGGAAGATGACACGGCTCTAATATGCAAATCAATTGAGTTGAGTTCAAGTGAAGAGTGCTTTATGGCTCTTGGAGCAGAGGAAGAAGAGGTAACATCTAATTCTTTCAATTCTGTTAATTCCTCTTTTTCTCGTGAATCTATTGGCAGTCTAATGCGAGATTGTCAAGAGATTATGCTCACTCATCCTCAACTCAAGGAGCGCAATAATATTCTAATTCTTGAAAAAGAAGAGATGAATAAAAAATTGCAAGATGCTTTACTTGAAGTGAGTAACTTGAAGAGTGAAAATATTCAACTTCAAGAAGAGTGTAAATCAAGAGAGGTTAGAGAACATAACCTTCGGGCTACCATTGCTACGTTTACTAATTCGTCCAAAATTATGGATAAAATGGTAAACATGCAAAAGCCATCAAGAGATAGAACCGGAATCGGTTATGACTTCACATGTTCTCAAACCCCTCCGAAACTGACTAATCTTACTACTCCTTTAACCAATAAAGTGCATGTAGTAAAATTTGTTAAAAGTCAGAATAGCACAATGAGACAAGGACTTGGCTATCAAACAAAAGCAAAGTTGAATGTTGAAAGGCCAAAACAGTTCAATAACACGGCAAAGCAACAAAAATTCTTCAAGCAAAGATATGCCAAAGAGTCAAGTGCAAAAAGAATTTTTAGAAAAGAGGGAAGCTTTTCTAGAAATAGAGATGGAAGATTTTATTCCACTCAAAAGGATTGGTTGTGTAAATCTTGTTTAAATGCTTCTTATAGACCAAAGCAACAATCCTCTTCCCAGGTGCCCAAGTTTAAAAATGTTTTTCAAAACCCGGCGCCAAAAATGTTTTCAAAAGTTAATTATGATTATCGTGTTTCAAATGGTTACAAACCGCCTTATCTTAATTCAATAGGATCAAGGTGGGTTTGGTTACCAAAAATTACTAACAGCAAAGGACCCAAGCAAGTATGGGTACCTAAAACCAACTAATCTTTTTTGTAGGATGTTTGGTACATCGACAGTGGTTACTCACGTCACATGACTAGAGATAAATCATATCTAGTTAATTTCAAGAAAATCGATGGACCAAAAGTGATTTTCGGAGGAAATCAAAATTATGGAACTACAAAAGGAGTTGGTACAATTGAAAGAAATGGTTTGAAGATCGAAGATGTTTCATTTGTTGAAGGCCTAAAATTCAATTTGTTGAGCACTAGTCAATTTTGTGATAAAGGCTATCTTGTGGAATTTTCCAAAGATAATTGCCTAATCAAAAATGAGCTCTCAAATGAAGTTGTGCTCACTGGAAAAAGGCGAAAGAATATGTATGTTGTTGATTGGAGCACAAGCAAAAATTCAGTATGCTTAATGGCCAGAAATTCGAATGAAGCAAATTGGGAATGGCATAGAAAGCTCAATCATTTAAACTTCAAGACTATCAATCAGCTTGCAAAGAAAAATCTAGTTGAAGGACTACCAAGTATTATCTTCAAGAAGGACCAAGTGTGTGATGCATGCCAACGCGGAAAGCAAATCAAATCATCATTCAAGTCTAAGACGCACGAATCAACATCAAGACCGCTAAGCTTGCTACACATGGACTTATTTGGACCGGTTGATCCAATAAGTGTAAGTGGTAAGAAATATACTCTTGTTGTTGTTGATGATTTTTCCAGGTACACTTGGACCGTGTTTCTCAAGAAGAAAAATGAAGTTGAACAAGTGTTGCCGAAGCTGTTGAAGCAATTACAAAATGAGAAAGAATTGCAAATATCAAAAATCCGAACCGATCGTGGAACCGAGTTCGTGAATGGAGTTATACAAGATTTTTGCAATTCACATGGAATTTCTCATCAATTATCTGCCGCTAGAACACCACAACAAAACGGTGTTACCGAAAGAAGAAACTGGACGCTTAAAGAAGCCGCACGAGTGATGATTAGTGCAGCCGGTCTCCCGAAAAGATATTGGGCGGAAGCTATCAACACTGCCTGTTATACTCAAAATCGAAGCATGATCCATAAGCAGTATAGCAAGACGCCATATGAGCTTTATAAAGGGAGAAAACCAAATATTGGTTATTTTCATATTTTTGGATGCAAGTGCTTTATTCATATTAATGATAAATTGCATCTAAAAGCTTTTGATGAGCGTGCAGATGAAGGAATTTTTCTAGGATATTCGACTACCAGCAAAGCATTCAGAGTATTGAACAAAAGAACAATGGTGGTTGAAGAATCCATACACGTAGTATTTGATGAAAAATCACACGTCAATATTGATGCTCTGGACGAAAATGGCGAAAATATTGAGCAAAATGGTAACAAGTGTCATATTGATTTTTGTGATACTGATGATACGTGTGAAGAAAATATTTTGCAGGGAATGGATGAGTTGGAAATTAATTCTCTAGAAAATCACATCTCTCATCCAGTAAGAAATGAAATGCGGGATGCAATTGGTATTGAAATTGCAAATCAACCCAGGGATGCAATTGGTATTGACATTGCTAATCAACCCAGGAATGAAGTTGAAGTGGAAATTGCAAATCAGCCCCTGGATGCAAATACTAGAGAAGTTGAAAATCTACAGAATGAAGCAGAAATTCGAACCACTTCTCAGTCAGTAAATCCACCCAGTACCATGCACCCATTTGAACCAGACTTAAGATGGCTCAAAAATCACCCACCAGAATTAGTGATCGGAAATGTTCGCGATGGCGTGAAAACAAGATCATCTACCATGGAAGCATTGTTCACATGTTATCTATCTCAGATTGAACCAAAAGAAGTGGACGAAGCTCTAAATGATCCAAGTTGGATTGACGCCATGCAAGAGGAACTCGATCAATTCAAAAGAAATGATGTTTGGGAACTTGTTCCAAGACCAATGAACCACAATGTTGTAGGAACTAAATGGGTCTTCCGGAACAAAGCAAACGAAGAAGGCGTGATTGTTAGGAATAAAGCAAGGCTCGTTGCAAAAGGATACTCTCAAGAAGAAGGAATAGATTTTGATGAAACCTTTGCACCGGTAGCCAGACTCGAAGCTATAAGGATTTTCCTAGCCTATGCCGCACACAAAGATTTCATTGTTTATCAAATGGACGTGAAAAGCGCATTCTTGAATGGACTACTCGAAGAAGAAGTTTATGTCGAACAACCCCCAGGTTTTGAGGTAAAAGGCGAAGGTGACAAAGTCTACAAACTTAAAAAGGCATTGTATGGGTTGAAACAAGCACCTAGAGCTTGGTATGATACCTTGTCAATGTTCTTGATAAGCTGTGGATTCACCAAAGGCCTTGTTGACAAAACGCTCTTTAGAATTCAAGATGGTGATCATATTTTATTAGTGCAAATATATGTTGATGACATTATTTTTGGAAGCACTAACAATTCCTTGTGTGAGAAATTTTCGAAGCTTATGCAGAATAAATTCGAAATGAGCATGATGGGTGAATTAAATTATTTCTTGGGCTTACAAGCCAAACAATTGAAGGAAGGAATATTCATCAATCAAGCAAAGTACACCCGCGACTTGATAAAGAAGTTTGGCCTTGATGGGAAATCATCGATCAAAATTCCTATGAGTACATCAATAAGGCTAGACAAAGACGAAGATGGAAAAGATGTCGAACAAACGAAGTATAGAGGAATGATTGGTTCACTACTATACCTCACTGCAAGCAGGCCGGACATTTCTTATGCTGTGGGAGTGTGTGCAAGATTCCAAGCAAATCCAAAAGAAAGTCACCTCACCGCAACAAAGAAAATCATAAGATACTTGAAGGGCACAATCAATGTTGGATTGTGGTATCCTAAAGGTACAGATTTTACGCTAACTGGTTTTTCAGATGCGGATTTTGCAGGTTGTAAAATAGACAGAAAAAGCACCTCCGGAACGTGTCAATTCTTGGGAGGAAGGCTTGTTTCTTGGTTTAGTAAAAAGCAAAATTCCATCGCAACTAGTACCGCCGAGGCCGAATACATTGCTGCAGGAAGTTGTTGTACTCAAATTTTGTGGATGAAGCAACAATTGAAGGACTATGGAGTGAATTGCGACGATGTTAGCATATTTTGTGACAATACAAGTGCAATCGCTATCACCCACAATCCAGTGCTTCACTCAAGAACCAAACATATCGACATACGACATCATTTCATAAGGGATCATGTTGAAAAGAAAGATCTAAAAATCGAGTATATCCCTACGGAGAACCAAGTTGCAGATATTCTCACGAAGCCTTTATGCGAAACGAGATTTTCTACTTTAAGGCATGAATTGGGAATGTTGGAAATGAGCTAAGTATCACTAAACTTAATCTCTTGATCTAAAATGATATTATGTGTTCTACGTGTTTATATGCTATTAAGTGTTTTACGTGTTTATATGTTCTTGTATGATTTACGTGTTTGCATATTTCTATGTGCTTAATTTTTACAAAAGCTAATTTGCTAAATGTGTTAAGTGTTCAATTATGTATTTGCATGTAGTATTTAACGTGAAAAATACGTGCTATGCAATTCATTTTCGAAAATTTGTGTTTATTTGTTTTAATTGCATATCTATATGTTTTTATTTGTAGTCATGGCATAATACGTGTTTTATGATTTATTTGAGTATGTTAAAAATGCCGTGCCTATTTGTGTTGTTATGATTTAATTACTAAATGTTTTAATTAGTTTATGTTAATTGGTATCTAAAATAATTTGTTAGTTTCTAAATATTTGATTATTTGATTATTTGTGTGTTTTAGAAACTACCGTATATATGTATGTTTAATTTTGGTGTTTAATTGAAATTTGTCTAATTTCCTAAATCTATGTCTATTGTGATTAGGAGTTTACCGTATGTATGCATGTTTATATATAGATGTGATTTAATTTCTTTTAATATTCATATATGTTTCAAAATTTTGTGTGAGTTACCCGAAATATTTGTGTATGATTATATGTAATTTATGTGTGATTATATTTATGTGATTATATTTTTATAAATGATACATCTAACGTGTATTTTTGAGATGAAAAAGGAAGAGATCAGATTGGATTGAAACCTCCACCCTTTAAACCTCTACCCCATAAAACCCAATCCCATTAAAACTCTTCACCTTTAAATCTATACCTCTTAAACTTCCACCCATAAATTAAATCCCACAAAAATCTCACCCTCTCTCACAAAATCAGATCCTCTCTCTCGTAAATCTCCTCCCAAATCCAACCTCTCTCTCAAATCTTCAAAAATAATCAGAGGTGTCCATTCATAATCATATTACTCTATACACCTTACGTATATAGAGTACCTAAGAGACTGTGAGGCATTTAATGCCCTTGTCTGCTAATGATAACCTTTTTCTCTCTCCTAGTAACACCTTAACCAAAAGACACCTCCACCCTTACAAGTGCCTTGTCACCACACCTATTCTAAGGGTCTCAATTGAGATTTCTATCTGAGATTTATACCTCTTCTATAATCCTTCTTAAACCATACGAAACCTTTCGTATTCCTCTCAGACGAAATTTTTCCAGTTCTACCAAGATCAGAAATCTTTTTCTCTCAAGCTCTCAATCTCACCGGCGAACAGCATGTCTGGAACCAAAGCCATGCAACCCAAAAATATGCTTACTCTACAACAACAATTGACCGATGGGATGACACTCAATCCAAAGTTTTTCATGTTTGGAGCCGTCGACAAAGAATTAGCAAAGAAGATTCTCAATGCTTTGAAGGACTGTGGACTATACGATTTCTTCACCTACAAATATGTTGGAGTTTTTGAAACAGATGTGACCGAGTTCTATTTGTATGCCATTGTGAAGAACAACGTGATTCACTCTAAAGTTGGAAGAACAGTTGTTCAAATTTGTGAAAAAGACATCAAGGAGTGCTTCAAATTTCCTGATTCGGAGCTAATGCCTGAAGCTCACCATTATGATGCTCAATCCTTCTGGAACGAAATTCGTGGTCCAAAAGCACCTGTGATTCACGACTCAACCAAGCCAAAGAACGTGCTGAAACCAGAATATGATATGCTCATAGAGATGATGTACAAGATTCTGGACAATAAGCTTGGAAGTGTGGATGATTTATCTGGAACATCCGTGAGTCTGATGAATGGAATCATGCAAGGAATAAAATTCAACTGGGCAAAATACATCTTCAATCGCCTATTATTCTTTGTAAACAATGCAAAACCTCATGGCAGACCACTTGAAGGAAATCACTTTTTGCATAAAGTTGGGTATGGACTTATTGTTGGAGAAATTCTGAGAAAGAAGAATGTGCCTCTCAGAAGACACAAAAATGTTGGAATCTACATAACTCTTTTCAGAAAATTTGGACCTGACTATGGCAAGAAGACAAATCGAAGAAAAGGATCAGAAGGAGGTGGTTCTACAAGCACACCTCAAAGCTCTCGAAAAAGAAACAGTAAAACTCCATCTACAGGAAGTGCACACATGGGTTCGAGCAACCCAAGCAACAGAGATCAAGAAGCCGTAAGCTCGGCTATAGCACTTATTCCATTTCAGGAAGTGGTAGAGTCTGAAGCTCATGAAGTGGACATACCCGTGATGCCAACTGAAGAAGACACCACCCAAATGGAGTTTGCAGGAGTTGAAGTGCAAGTTTCCAATGACTTGCAAAGAAGAATCTCGAATCAATCTGCAGTTGATGCTGGTGTTAAACCCATTGTGTTCGACAAAACACAAACTCGAGATGATCCGGAACTGATGAAGGAATTAAACCGAGTTCAAGCATGGAAGGAATGGAGACTTGAAAGATATCACTCTCTTATCTCCAAAGTTGATTCAGAGTTGATATAAAGTGAAGAATTAGCCTTTGAATGGCTAGGAACCAACTCAATGCTTGAAGCACTAAACATGGATGCAAATCAAGTTTATAGGCTGAAGCTTCAAGAAAAGAACAGTAAAGGAAAGGGAGTGGCCGCAGCAACTCAAGAAGATGCCAATCAAGTCTCTCCGAATGATATTGAAAAAGAGAATGAAGTGAGATTACAGATTGCTCTACACAGATCGTTGACTGACACTCATGGACATCCAGGTGATACTTCAATTAATATAGCCAATGATTTTCTTGAAAATTTTGGAGAAAGGGCGAATGAAGGAAGTACACTTGTTGAGGTACCAATTTCAGCTTCTGAAACGCATGAGTCTATTCCTGTCAGAGTTCACTGTGCTGAACTTTTGATATCAAATGTGACCCCCACCAACATTGATATAAATGCTATGGACCCTACAAGGGATGAATTTAGAGACCAAATTGATGGTGAAATCAGACCATCAATTGGGGGGAATATTCACATTAAGTGCCAGTACACGATAACACCCCTATATTGTCACTTCAAAATACCTCTCTGGAAGCTACTTTAAATACAGAGCTTATTTCAAGAACAGAGGTAATTGAAGAAGAAGTGGAAAATCATCTTGAAGAAGCCGAATCACCAGAAGAGAATTTGCAGCTTGTTGAAAATCCAGTTCTTGGTGATCCACGAAGGAATTTGTTCAAAAGTCTACACTCTCTGAACATGAGTAGAAGCCGAACCCGAGAAGAAGATGAAGATGATTTATTGGTTTCTTTGTTTGCAAAAGTCACTGAATCAAGTGATATGGTGTGTCAAAAAATTGGAAGTACTCTCACCGAGCAAGGACATCTCTCTCTACAACATTTTGAGAACACACGAACAAAATTGAAGGAGTTGTTGGAGTATCAAAACACTTTGCAGACAAAAATTGAAAGAGTCGAACGACATTTGAAAGGAGATCTCACTGAAGGTTTATTGGAGATCATCCAGCTGATGAAGAAGGAACGAGAAGCCACAGAGAAAATCAACAGTGAAAGACACCTGAGACAAATCAAAGCCATACAAGATCAAGAAACAAGGATAAATCACCTTGAGGTGGAATTATCCTCCATGGCTAATAAATTGTCTGTTTTGCAGGATGTTTCTCTCAAAACACATGATGGAGTTAAGATTGTTAAAGCCAATCAAGAACAAGATTCCAAATCCCTTGGCTTTTTGATTGATAATGCCATAAGGGGGGAAGAAATTCTCAATCATCTGGCTTTACAACAACATGAATTCATCATTAGAAATCAGTCACAACAACCAGCTCAGACCGCCGCACCTACGAAAGGCCGAGGCCGAGGACGTGGTCAACAATCCCAAGTTGGTTTCGCTCAATTTGCAAATCCAAGTCTTGGATCAAGCTCATCGAAAGTGGCCGAAACTCGAGGATGGCTCGAATGCTCAAAAGGAACCTTAACAGCGCAGAAAATTTGGACATCCGAGAATGTGCCGAGTATGGTGAAAAGATGGCCAAAAGCTGATCAAGCTCAATGGATTTCGGACAAAAATAAAGAAGAAGAAGCAAAAAGGAAGCAAACCGAAATGTGGTATGAGCTCAGAGACTATACCAAGAATAATGGTGAAAGTCTGGGATTCCAAAGAAGCTTTGAAGAATGCATAATTTGGTGGGAAGCCGGAGCTCTTCCGGGCACCAACATTAAAGAGGCCTTTGGACACTACATGGCTGGGAATGTGACTAAGAAATTTGAATGTGAGAAGTTCAAGAATGATATCTGCAAGATGAGAGAACATATCAAGGATATATTGAAAGCTGACATGGGAGTCAAGAAACCCAGAAGGTAATCAAGCATATATTCCTCAAGAAATATGATGTTTTAAATTTCTATGATTTTGGCTAGCTACAATATTTCCTCTTTCGACTAATATGAATAAAAATTCCCTTGGTCTGATCTAAGTCTGTTTATGATTATTTGTTGGCTATCATGTAATTAGTTGGTAAATCAAAAGACAAGAGTTGTTAAACGCATGCAAAATTTTGATAAAGATAAAAATTGATTAAAAATTAATCAAGGATGCGTATAGGACTTGTCTAAATTAATTCACAGAGTTTTCCTTTTCCCTAGAATTATTTTTGTCAAACTCATCTTGGCTTTGTCAAAATAAAATTGAGCAAAAATGAAAATATTTTTCAAAGACTTAAAGCCAATGTTTGAGTATAGGTTATGGCATTATCAAAAGGGGAGAAATTGTTAGGAATAAATTGTAATAGATTTTGATAAGCCATATTGTAATTCGTAGATCCCCAATTTTATTTTATTAGACTAGTCGAGTCTTAGACCAAGAAAGGGAAAAATAAATTCATTAGTTGAGGAAATGGATGAAGAAGATATCAAGCCAAAAATTAAGAATTTGTCAAGAAAAAATGGCAAACAGAAGAGGAAGATGTATGCGTATGAAATTTGAGAAAATCCCTCAAAAATCCCGAAGAAGAAAGAACGTGACTAGAAGTTTGCATGAAGCTATCTTGAAGATCAAGCATCTATGGAAAGAAAGGAGTACACCAAGTGGAACAAGAAGATAACCAATAGGCTGTACGGACGAGATGGTAGAAGCTTGAAATATTATGTGCAAGGTCATAGGTTCAAATCTCACATCCCACATATTTTAAAGAAGCCAAGTTAAAATTCCATCTGATCAAGTAAGAGACGATGGTTTGGCCGAAGGGATACAATTTGCAAGTCAATGGGATGAGATTTCAAGGGATGCAATGCAAGTCAATGGGATGAGATTTCCAATTTGACTATGGGATGAGATTTCGGGATGCAATGCAAGTCAATGGGATGAGATTTCAAGGGATGCAATTTGCAAAGTCAAAGGGAATGAGATTTCCAAATTGACTAAGGGATGGAGTTTACAAGTGAAGGGATGCAGTTTC